GCAGGCTCGTAACCCGTAGGTGTTTTTGAACTATGTGTTCATTAGATGTCTTTGAACTAGGTATTCATTAGGTGATTTTGAACTATGTGTTCATTGGGTGTTTTTGAACTATGTGTTCATCAGGTATTTTTGAACTGAGTGTTCACTCTGTGTTTTTGAACTAGGTGTTCATTAAGTAATTTTGAACTGAGTGTTTACCAGATGTTTTAAACTACGTGTTCACCAGTTGTAATTTAAGAACCCTGGCAGCGATGGACTTCGTGTCTATTCCTTAGGACAATCATTTGGAATGAATGAGTGAATGATAGAGGATTCTTAGTGTGGAACCCTAAGAAACTGCAGAAGTATCCCTTAAGCAGTGTTGTTAGCCCGATGATGATGATCCTTAAGCTAAGTCCCTTTTATTAGATGTTTAGGGACATAAAGTGAGGATATCGGGAACGGGTAATCTGGGTTATTGTTGATTGATGAAATTAATAAATTTATTGTTGGTTGATGAAAATTAATAAATTTATTTATTGTGGGTTGAAAACCCTATATGCTCACCAGGCTCCCAAGCCTGACCCACTCAGCTTTTATATTACAGGTAGTGGAACAAGAGCATCGTTGGATGATGACGAGGGATTTTGGATTATAGGCCGGTAGATGTAAATAACTGTTGTAAGGCCTATATCGTACTGTTTATGCTTTTGGTCTGTATCGGAACATGACATCCCGAGGTTTTATAATATAATGAAAATACATTTCTTTAAGAAATGCTTTGATTAATTTTTATCATATTTTGTTTTGGGGACAAATTCCTCAATATCTTTTGGAAGATTACTCTGATTTTATTTTAAAAAGAATAAACTAAATCGGTCTTTTCTGGCCGGGAAATTTGGGGATGTCACAGTCGTTACGTAAGATATTCCAGATCTACAATTTTCCAACTGTCGTTGCACTATATCTTCCAGATATGTGATTTCCCAACCACTGCATCCTCCTCCTAGTCCTCTCGTTTCTACTCCACGACAAACACCACCACTAGGGCCTTCACAAATCAAAGTTGTTCCACCACTACCCCCAACTCCTCCTCCTCCTCATGCTTATGCTACACCACCACCTTTGTTTTCTCCTCCAAACATTGCCTTTACACTTCTTAAGATCTACTCTGGTTATGATCTACTGTGACAATCTCCGATCTGGAATATATGGAGACTCTAAAGGGAATGCTAATCTTAGATTTGTAAATCACCTCATCGGGAAACAATATGCACACAAGGTGTTTGATGATATGCCTCAATGGGATTTATAAGCTATTAAGTAGTGAATAAGATTTTAAATTTTTGTATAAAGATGTGAACTAGTGTCTCAAATGTTGTATTAAACTATGAATTTTGTTTTTTTATGCATTAAGTTGTGAATGAGTCTTTTGAAATGTTGTGTTAAGTTGTAAATTAGTGTCTGAAAAGTTGTATTAAACTGTGAATTCTGATGTTTTTTTTATCAAATTCTGTTTTTTTTAAGGGAAGGATGTCGGAGGTATTGGTGTCGGTGGTTGGTAGCGACGTCTGGCAGTTTGTGGTGGTGGTAGATTTCCGGTTTGACTTCAATGAATCTATGAATTAGTATATATTATCATGTATTTAGTTATGAATTGATTGTATTAAGTTGTGACTTTTGTCTATTAAACTATGAAATGACTATATTAATTTGTGATATATTGTATTAGGTTGTTAATTTTATATAAATTTTATGTTAAAATATGAATGAATGCAAGAATGAAAATATTAGACTGTAAAATTATGATTTTGCCCTTTTCTTTTCGAAAAAGACAAAAAACCAAAATTTTCACATATTTAATAAGTACTTTCAGTTTAATAAATGTGAAATGGGGTACCTAAAGTTGCTAATCTTTTGTGGTTATAATTTGAACCACTGCCAATATGCCTATATGTATGTATGTATTTATATATGTATGTATATATGTATGTAAGTATGTGCATCAAACACATAAAAACATCATTAAGGCCTTAACAAGTAAGTCACTATAAAAAAAATTAGACTTGTCTAATTAAGTGTTTAACAATTAAGTAGTTATCAATTAAGTCCTTAACTAATCATTTAACACTTTCCAAACATATTAAAATATCAAATTAGTAATAGCTCTTCATTAATCATTTTCCAAACATATTAAGCACTTTCAAAACATATTAACATGAATTTAGAGCATCTATTGATTAAGAACTTTCCAATTAAGTACATTAGGACAAATAAGTAGTTTATTAAAAAAATTAGAACCCGGAGGGGGTGCTGCACAGTAGGCAGTAGGTAGCAGGTGGTGGTACTAGCGGGCATACTGACGGATGGACCTGCCGGCGAAACAACCACACATGTTACAGAAAACAATCAAGAAATCAAAGAAATCAATGTTTGAATATCCAAGAAATTACTTTCATGGCATTCAAAATATCCAAGAAATCAAAGTGAACATTTTACAGAAAACAACCACACATGTTACAGAAAACAACCAAGTCCAAGAAATCGGAATAACATAGGGTTACCTGACGGAATCGACTGTGGAGTGGCGGAGATCGTCTCTGCCGAAGACGGGCCGGAGACGGGTGGACCTGCCGGCGACGATGGACTATCGGCGATGGAGCGGCGTAGCTTCTTCGTGGGTTTTGATTTGGCTGTCTCTATTTGGGAGACAATCCCTTGGGGGGGGGGGGGGAACTAAAAAATAATCGGGAGTAAGAAGTAGGGAAAAGGAAGCGGGAATAAACAATAGGGAAAAAGAAAACAACGACCGATTTAGGGTTAAAATCAGGGGCACATCAGCTACGGATTATTTCCGTCGCTAATCCCTAGCTAATCCTTCGGTGATCCGTCAATGAAATCTGGATTCCTTTATTTATCACTTAATTTGATTTCTGTCGCTGATCCGTATGAAATCTGTCACTAATTTAGCTAGGGATGTCGTCCGTCGCTGATTCCGTCGGTGAAAGTCCATTTTCTAGTATTGATATAGTAGTGGTGGTTGAAACAAAACTAGAGGTAGCTGGCAAGTGGGGTTGACGTTTGGTGGTGGTGGTGTTGCTCGGTCTTAATCGCTGATGGGGTTGGTAGCCGGCAACAAGAGAACCGCTAGATTTTTGGAGATAACCAATGGATTTTGTAGAACATCTCTGATAGTGAGCAACGACAGTTGTGTGGGATTGCTCTGGTTGTGGTAGTTGTCTACCGGAGAAAAATGCAATTTGATTGTCGAAGGTTTTTTTAGAGATGAATACATACATTATACATCGACTGGGTGGAGCATCCATGAGGCGAGGCTTTTGTGGCGATGATATTAGTGGCTACACAACTTTTTAGCGGCAACAAGAGAAAGGTGTAAGCGAAGTTTTCCTAGACATATTTTTGGGGTTTTAGCGATAGCAGGCTGACACCACTAATTCTCGTACAAATGAAATGCTAGCCATAGGATCCGTTGGGGGGGGGGGGGGGGGGGAAGTGGGCAGCTGCACATGACCCAATTTTTTTGTTATATATATTTATTTAAAAATAAAAACTTATAATAACAATGGTTCTTTTTTCTCACTCGTCTTGGGCCATTGAGGATATTTAACTACTCAAGACCGGCTCTGGATCCATTACACTATCAACGGTCAGGGTTATCGCTCAAACGAAGCACACAGATTGCGGTTTACTATCTATAGAGGTGACGCCTTTAACGGCAACACCACAAATAGTGGTGGCACTTAAACACGTTGATTAAAAGTCGCCACTATTGGTGTAGTCGCCGACAAAGGCATCGCCAGGCGATTTCTTGTAGTCGAGTTTACGGGTATACATTTTACTTGAACCGAAAGGGTGTTGGGTATTTGCGATTTCTTGGTGGAAACTCTTGTTTTTTTTTTTTTTCATAGCTCTTTCTCATGTATGCCTTTAGAACATGTGAAGCATGTGACATGAATATCAGTATATAACATATATGGTTACGTATCCATCGACATGCTGTAGATGCTTGTACTATTGCATGTGTTTTCCCATTATGTGCGTATACGCTACATGCAACTTCGAAAGGGTCAAATCCAGTGGTATGTTGTTACCGCTTATACTTGATGAGGTAGAATGCATTCGGTACCCTCTAGATATAAGAATCTTAGATCTAGCAAAAATAGTTGAGCGAAAAGGAAAATAAATGGAATATTTTTTTTTTGTCAGTTTTCAGTTTCAATATACGATTTTGCTATATAGTAATTTTTATAAATATTCCTAATAATGATTTTGGTTCAGTCAGCTTCATGATTTATGTTCCTTTAATGAAACATCTACGTACACATTTAATTAACAATCAAATGTATGTTGAATTGGAATAAAAGGTACAATGAAGTAACAAATATTAACAAAATAAATAAAAGAGATAATTAATAGGAAAACATCCTTGATTCATTGATTGATACTATTCCTTACATAATTAATAGCAAAACTAAACACGCCACGAAACAATAATCATCTTTTAAAAAATTGCTCGTCAACATATTAAAAGGGAAACTTCCATAAACAATTCCAACTTAAAAAGCATTTTCTGAACTGATATTTGCTTCATCGATCGGTCCATCAACTTAGCCCTGCAAAATTCAGGCATGCATAAGCACTTGAACGAGTACTTCAAGGTATTTTAGACATTTATCTTGTATTGAATCATATATATATCTTAAGAAGCATATATATATCTTAAGAAGCATTCATGGTATAAGCCACTAATTTAGCTCCAACAATATTGTCATGTAGGAGAGAACACTCAATGTCCAAAAAGAGCTTAATTACACAAATATAGAAGGATTTTTCTTGTTAAAGAAAAGGAAAATCAAGAATTTGGGTTAGGGTCTGGTGTAAAATACGAAAGATAGAAATTTACCTGAGTAGAGACCATCATAATTTAGAGAGAGCAAGTGTAACCCGGAGGAGGGGTCTTGCCACAAGTAACAAGCAGCTGAAGAGCAATTGGTAGATAAATGTTGAGGTTCAACAGTTTAACCTTCAAGGTTGTGCACAAGCAAACTGCAGCCTCTAGCTCTGCTAGCCCCGCTATAATCGGGCAACATTTGTTGACCGCGGGGTCACCCAATCCAATGTTCACTAAACCTCCTAGAAGGTCTACACAAGCTCCCAACTTTAGGATGTCAATGGGGCATGTTTCCGATGCACCCGGTGGTGATGCAACCGGTGGTGATGCACCCTTTGGTGGTGGGCAGGGTTCCCCCTTTGGTGGTGTGGCAGCTGGTGGAGTGACCACCGGTGGAGTGACAACCGGTGGTGTGACGATGGGTGGGACGACCGGTGGGAGGGGTGGTAGTGGGAGTGGTGGGAGTGTCACCGGTGGTTTAATCGGTGGAAGGGTCACTGGTGGTTTTAGAGGTGGGAGTGGGAGGGGTGGGAGCGTCACTGGTGGTTTTAGAGGTGGGAGCGGGAGGGGTGGGAGCGTCACTGGTGGTTTTAGGGGTGGGAGTGGGAGGGGTGGGAGCATCACTGGTGGTTTAATCGGTGGGAGGGTCACTGGTGGTTTTACAGGTGGGAGTGTGACAGGTGGGAGGGTTACTGGTGGTTTAATTGGTGGCAGAGTCACGGGTGGTTTTACCGGTGGGAGGGTTACTGGTGGTTTAATCGGCGGGAGGGTCACTGGTGGTTTAATCGGCGGGAGGGTCACTGGTGGTTTAATTGGTGGCAGAGTCACGGGTGGTTTTACCGGTGGGAGGGTTACTGGTGGTTTAATCGGCGGGAGGGTCACTGGTGGTTTAATCGGAGGGAGGGTCACCGGCGGTTTAATTGGTGGGAGTGGCGGTTTAATTGGTGGGAGGGTCACCGGTGGTTTTACTGGTGGGAGGGTCACTGGTGGTTTTATCGGTGGGAGTGTCACCGGTGGTTTTACCACGGGTGGAAGGGTGATGGGTGGTTTTACTACAGGTGGGAGGGTAACCGGTGGCTTTACCGGTGGTTTAACAATCGGTGGTTTTCCGGTGGGTGGTTTTGGCTTGTCACAACTTCCACAGTCAAGAACTGGATTCGCTGAAGAAATCATGAAAAGTGAAATGAAGAAAAGAGCGGTAAGCTTCTTAGAGGACTCCATTTTTGATGGATGTAATGTGAAGTGATGTGAAGAAGGGATTATATAGAACTGCATGAGTGTTTTACATTTTACTTTTTATTTTAAATAATAATTTACTCTATTTACTCTGGGACATATGTATATGTATATTGAGGAAAATAACAAAAAAAATTAATGAAAGACCAAGAGAAAAGCTACGGCACATGTATGTTTTTGTGCATATTGGAGGTGACAAATTTTGCAAGTTGGCAAAAAATTTCAGCATTTTATGCACTAATGGCTGGATTTTTTTTTTGTTTTCTTTTTTGGGTTACATATTCTTGACATTACGCTGCAAAAGAACATAACGAATGTTCATATTTAGGCGTCGACAATGTTAAGTTTAAATTATTTAGAGATATTATATTTTTTTCAATAACTTCATTAAATTATGCATTGTATATGTTCTTGTCGATAATAGAATTAACACTATTTGTGCTATATATTAATATCAATATTATATTGTAGAATTGCATAATTGATAGACCATTACTACAACCCATATGTGATCTTAGTTATCGACGATTCAATTAAAGAGATAAAAATAATAATTTGATCTCACGTTTATTAGTATAAAAAATTCAAGCTTAAAATTGGCGGAAATAATAAATGCTAAACTCTCAAAATGTATACAAATTTACAAAGGTTAGACGTATGATAATATGTAAAAATAACAGCTTGTTTTTTTTTTTTTTTTAAAAAAAAAAAGTTATTAAAGTAGCGGGGCTAGCAAAAGGAGATTATAACATGAACAAAAAGCTCGAAACTAAAAGGAACTCAGCACAAAAAGAAACCTGTCGGACGATAACTTTTTACACCAATGGAAATCGACACAAATTAAAATATTTTTGACATCCTCAAGAAAAAAAAAAAAAAAAGAGTATCGTTGTTTATCTAGTATAGCAATGAAATACATTGCTTTGAGGTGATCAATCTCTCATAAATTTAGAAAAAGGAAGGGAGTTAATTTGGAGCAATTTTAAGATGATCAAATTTCAATGAAGAACATTACAATTTATAGAAAACAATTATGGTTGTTAATAGCCTTATGGAACAAGAAATCTTGGACTAATATCAAGAAAATGTGTTACTAAAATCCTCCAGATTTGTTACACATTGGAAGACTTGGTCGTGGGGTCCTTCGGTGAGTCAATCTTCATAACGGGTGGGTCACCTTTTGACCTGTGTATAGGTTGATTTGTCAGTTTGTCGGATGGTGTGGTGTCATGGGTCGTATCAATACTCTTCCCTTCAAGCGGGAGCTTGTCCTCAAGCTCTTGCCTGATATAGTCTTCCTTGTTTTCCCAGTTGGCTACTAAGATGTCTCTATCTTTCCATTTGATGAGAACTTGTTCAGTGGTCGTGTCATGTTCAAGTATGGTGCGTCTGTCCGGAACAACTTCTGGTTCCTCGACTGGATGGTCTTCGATGTAGGAGACCGGCAGTGGCAATGTTGGTGGCGAGGTTGGTCTATTACATGGACGTAGCAGTGATGTGTGGAAAACGTTGTGTGCTTTTGAATCTGGTGGAAGGGCTAGTTGTCATATATGTTTAATACATTAAATGGCACGTAAAATGGTCGGCTAAGTTTTTAGGATTCTCGTTTTTGTACTAATTGTTGTCAATACACACGAAGATGCAAATAAACTAGATCACCAATTTGAAATTATTTTTCATGTGGTGCTTGTTAGCTTGATCGGACATCCTTTGGCGGATTTTTTGTGATAACCCGAAATTTCAATCTTGTACAAACCATTCAATCCAATCAAAGTTAGACTTGTTCTTGCTAACTTCTAGCACTATTTTGAGTCTATTTGAGCATTCCAAGCCTAGTATATCCAAAGAATGAGTGGTAGGAAGTGTCCATTGAAGTTGTAAACTATCAAACAAACCATAAACCCTCTAAAGAGGTGTTTACGGCCAGGAACCATGAGTTTACGGCCGTAAACCCATGGTGGCCGTAAACACCATGCTATATATATGGTCCTTAGTCATTTTTCCTCATTTCCACCATTCCAAGCCCAAGAACTCGGAATTCTCTCTCTAGGATCTTGAGACTTTTGCTTCCAAACTTCAAAAATGTAAGTGATTCCTTCCCTCTATGTGTTAATACATCTCTTCTTCTTGATTCACTCTTGAATTCATCCACAAATCTCGTCTTTTGAGTCTAGATCTTCAAGATCCTCAAGAACACCAAGAACACTTAAGTGTTTTGGGACGAAAACACCCCCATTTGCCTTCAAAACGTAAGTACACTACCCTTAGCTTGTTATATACTTGAATCAGTTGTTAAACACCTTGTTAACATCAAGAAATCTGGAACAAAAGGGTGTTTACGGCCAAGGCAATCTCCCTTGGTCGTAAACCCTAGTTTGTGGTGCAATGTTGCCACAACTCCTTCCTAAGCCTTGGATCTAAGTCTAGAACACCTCAAGGAAGAACATAGGACCTTAAACACACAAAATGGTACAAGATACCATGAGTTTACAGCCGTAAACTCATTGGGCCGTAAACCCATGGGCCGTAAATTCCAATGTGAGGCCCTACAACCCTTTGTACTCCTAGCACTTGAATCAAAGTGTTTTCCATGTCCTAGGGTGTTTCTACTTGCTTAATTAGTTGTTTAATCACTAATTAGATACATAAATGTGTCATTATATGTTAAATAGGATCCGTGTGTGCTCAAGTCCTCACTTGACACTTAGCATCCTATCCAACACTTCCATCCAAACCACTCACTACAGGTGAGTTCATACCCCTTTAATCAACCTTTGAAATGATTTTAAATGCTTTTATGGGGGGAATACAAGTTAAAACATTCTAGTTATTATATTAATCACATGCGATGAATAACTAGAACAAACATAAAGATTTTCTATTACCTTCAAACTGTTATCAAACTTATGGATTTCAAATACTTCAAAACATTTTATTAAACTCTTTTAAATGCTAAATCATTTATCAAACTCTCTTTAAAAACTTATATTATTGTCAAACTCATGTCTATACAGATATATTTATATAAGTAAGATTTGAAGGACTTAGGACTGATAGCTCACTTTATTTCCTGTTCCTTGTTTGGTTGTGGACTTAGAGTACCCTGTTATTTGTCCGAATGTCGTTGAAATCTTAGTTATATATCATATATATGTGTTTAGATATAAAAGCTTTTACTTCAGTTCAGTACCTTTGGGTAGCAAAGGCATACAAACAACATTACTAGTAAACTATAATAGGTATAGTTTAAGAGATTACTACTCACTATTACTAGTACAACGAAGCATACAAGAGTCAGTACATTTTCAAGTCATTACAAACATACTATAAAATACAATACACACTAGTCACTATACAAGAGAACATACTATACACTATACAAGAGAACATACTATACAATATATAAGAGAATATACTATACACTAGTACAGAGAGAACATTACTACACTATGACTTACTATACAAACATTATAATACGATAAATAGAATGTGACACACTATTTTCGGATACAACAAGACCGTGTTGTATCATTTTGTAACCAGAGTCTCCTGGAGGGAGAGCGGGCATTGTGTGTATAGATCTATACGGTACAGACACTCCCACACCCCGACTGCTAGCTACAGTCCCAGCCAATAAGGCCAAGGGGTGACAAAATGTCACCTCACTACATATGACACCGGAGGGTCATCAATTATTCAGTCGTCGATCAGCATGGTTACATACGAGTTCACATTTAAGCCTTTAATTAACCAACTAAAGATTAAAGACTACTTTAGACTCCCCGAGGGGTATTGTACATTTAATACTACCTGGAGTCTGAATTTTATCACTTTATAGCCAGCAGTGTTACTGCTGAGGTAAAACATTATTTTCCCTATTACATTTACTTTGTGATCTTCTCACATATTCATAAATGTTTAAACTATATTTAGTTAATAATAGTCATACTTGGGAGAATACACACTTTTACACGAAACAAACATATAGAACATTGATGCCTTGGTAGAAGGCCACTTTTAGTAGAAAATATAGGATTGTCTAGGAGATACAAATATTCACTACAAACATTTACTTGGAAAACTTACAAACATTTTCTTCAAACTTACAAACATTTTCATACAAGCAATGACACTAAATACTTATGAACTCACCAGCTTTAATGCTGGTAAACTCTTTCAAAATAACTTGTATTCTCAAGTCATCAGTAGACAGGTACCGATGAAGCTTTTGAGAAGATGGAGCCTTCAAGACTCATCTATTATTTTGACTCACATTTTTGGTGTCTTATAAACTATACAGAACACGCTTGTATCAAAATTATTCTATAAATGCAATGGATGTTGTTGCTTGTTTACTATTATGCATTGTTATGATATTGTACATGACGTCCTCCGCCCCAGAACGTTTCCGCCGTTCCGGTTTTGGGGTGTGACAGATTGGTATCAGAGCATTGTTTATAGTGAATCAAGTATATCAACCCATAAAAGATATACAAACTATAAACGCATCGGGATTAAAATACTCTGACCAAGAGTTTATGCTGTTAAATAATAAAATATTTAACCAAAGTATACCTACCTGCATTCATACTAAAATCAGTGTCACTAGGACAGAACAAAAGTATTACGATTGTTGAACAACACAATTAGGCTTAGAGACATATAGTCAAATCTAGGGGGATATAGCCTGATCAACTATATTTTCCGAGGAGTGACTAGCATGTGCCTAAGAATGGTTGTGGTGTTGCAACAAGTCTAAAAACTTACCAATACCACTACAACGAGAGCATTAGAACAGAACATAAACTTAAAATACTATAGGAGTATTTTGTGTTACTATAATTACTTATGTGCAAACTAAAAAGGTCTTTATTAGTATGTCAATAGTTGCAGAGTGGATACGCTAAGGTTACATGTAACTAGGGTGTTATAGACTTAGAATTTGTGATCTTTGCTTTACCTCATGTTCCTTGTTTGGTTGTGGACTTAGAGTTAGGGTCACTTATTCGA